GTTATACTGAACGAGAACCTTTAAACACTGCTTACTGTTGATTGGTTAACAATAGAGTTATTTTCAGACTGTTAGTTGGCTGACTTTGAAGACATTTGTTAGAGCTGATTTTTTAATATGGAGTCTGTAAAGAGTGAGAAGCGGTTACATAAGAAGGCTGCATCTTGAATTGTCACATAATGGGAACGCTAAGTGGAAAACGCAGGAATATTTCCACAGCATTAACATCCCCTGGTTTTCAGCTTTGGCACCAACTTTTACAGAGATTCTGCTCTTATGTGTGTTGTTTTCAACAGCAACCAGTTGCTATGTAAAAATGCTGTAAGAAATCACTGTGTACCAATCACAAAACCTAGTCAGCAACTACTCAGTGGGCACTTCATATCTGATGACCAGCATATAGAGCCTTTTTAAATGAGTTATTATTCAACTGTTAAGCCTTAAAGAATATTTACTGACTATAAGATACAACCAGTTATTAAGAGAGAACCACAATGATTTCAAACATCAATGTCTTTGTAGGTCTCATAAGCTGCTCGGTGATTGCAGTGTCTCAGGTGAGTCTGACTCAAATGAAAATAAAAAAAGTCTGGAGGTGTGGAGCTAGAAAGAAGCGGGACCTCTGTATCTACTGCAGGCTGAGCTTCTGAGTTGCGTTACAGGTAATGTAGGCGGCAGGTTTTGACAGGGAAGATGAATGTGTGGAATTATAAAACGTAGTCTCTGACTCTGTATTGATTTTGATCCCTTTCACAGATGTAATGCTGAAAAAAGGGATTTCGAGAAACACAGCCGCGCTGTCAATCAAACGTCATCTGTCAGCTTCACTGAACCCATCCTAAAGTCGACCTTTGCAGTCGTGAAAGGAGCAGCCCGGCTCCGATCCAGACATCCAGAAAGAAAAAGTCCTCCTTTGACTATTCAAGTCCCAAAGGCAAAACTCCAAATCCAAAACTGCCCATCCCTCCCACCCTGCCTCCCCCTGCTGCACCGATGACTTTGACGGTAAAATGCTGTCAATCCCCATCAGATCGGCACGAGAACGGCCTGTGAATGTCGACATAGGGAAAAAACTGAAACTTCTCCTGCCTCTCTCCTCAAGCTCATGATATCAAGGGAAAGTGGGAAAACATTTTCACACTGAAACACTCGCTCACTCGCACACAAAGTGAGCGCTGACCGCTGGAGGCTGAGAATAGATGTTCCAAGTTTTGATGCAGTTGATGTAACTATTATTTCTCCCATTTTTTTCCTGCTCTCCTCTCCCCTGCTTCATGTTACACCTATCTCGTCTTCTCTCCCTCCCCCTCCTCCTCTGCCGCTCGCTCTCATTCCTCTCTATTCATCTCCTCACTCTCTCTCTCTCTCACTCTCCTTCCTCCCCTTTCCTCTCCTCTGACTAGGCTCAACTCACTCCAGTATTTTTAGTATTAGTGAGTAGGCGTCGCCAGGTCCTTATGAATTTTCATGGGTTTGTTTAGTGTGTAGGCTGACATGCTGCTCTCTCTCTCTCTCTCACACACACACACACGATCAGAGCAGTTTAAGAACACAAGAGTGCATGCTAACACACGTGTTAAGTGAGTAGGCTGACTGCTGGTTAATGAGGATGTTTGGAGTCTAGGGAAGAGCCAACAGCCTACAGCGGCCCTGTCAAAGTCTGCACTATCACCCTCATCGTCCTCCATCATCCTCTTCTCTCTGACTTATTCCTCTTGTTTTCCTTCTGACTCCTCTCCAGCCGGGGGCTTGCTCAGATGGAGACGTTCTTAATCCAGGAAATTAATTATCTTCATTTATCTGCTTCATCTCACACCCCTAGAGAGTGGCTATATGTGGGAGAAGGCCCAGTCAGATGTGTGTGTGTTTGTGTGTGTAGCCCTGGGATTATGTCTGTGTATCCGCAGGAATATCCACATTTAAGAGTGCGTTGTAAGTTACTGCAGGCGGGCAATGATCATATATATTCTGCCCCTGTGTGTTACAGTAATTACATTACAGCCTGACATGTGGGGTGGCTCCATTCTATTAATTAAAAAAGAGGAAGAGGCTCGAGTCTGAGAGTGTGTGTTGTTGCTCTGTCCATTAGATACGAGCATATGGATCACGTCAGGAAGAATTAGGCCGTCGTGGTCCTCGCACTTAGACTTGGAAGAAGCACACACACACACACACACACTTGTGCACAATTATACATTCATGTGGGCCTGTGCAGATGCTCTGTGGTGTGTTTTGTGATGTTTCCTCCACACAAAGACATCTCAAAGAAAGTCTGGATGGCTGCAGCGGGAGTCCTCATGTCTTTGTTCTCTGCTCTTGTCCTTTTTCCTCTGGCTGCAGCTGGTCTGTGGCTTGTGACAGATCCTCCAGCCTCGGTGTGTGCCGATTTGCAGCACGCATAGAATTGTGCGTGCGCGATTGTGTATCTACGTGCTCTTGCCTGCTCCCCTCTCCTGTCCCACTTCAACCCAGATTAGAGCGTCCGTCTCCTGAGGGAGACAAAAATATAAAAATAAAGCTTTTTACCAGAACACTGATCTGAACACACACGTATATGTACACATATCGTGCGCGCAGACACACACACACACCAGGGGTGCATTATGAAAGCCTACAGAGAGAGGGACAGAGAGCTCTTTTGCAGCAGAATCCAAAAAGCCCTTTTCTCTGAGTAGTCAGTAAACTGCAGAGATGGAAGGAGATACATACAGAAGCAGACAGAGAGGCCCAGTCTGACGGGGCATACGAGTTATACTAAATGTCTCATGTTGCCAGGTTTCTTTATCCTCCTCCAGCATAACCTGCTTTATCTATCGCACATTAATAAGTCAGTGGGTAGTTTTGGAGAGCAGGAATTTTTCCAAGTACAAATGTTGGAGGTAGTTTCTGTTTCTATAGTGCCGAAACTGGGAATCATCATATTGCAGCTATTAGATTTAGTGAGGGTTTTTTTGTGGCTCATACTGCTTATATACAGTGGTGTTGAATACAGATATTTTTTTGTAAAGAAAACATGAAGGAGAGTTAGCAGAGTCACTGCTTTATGATGCCTTGTTGTTGCGCTTATGAGAGCAAAGTGTTGGAAAAAACACTCAAAGGGGCAGAATGGAGGACAGCAGAGAAAAGCAAACCAGTGAGCTATGTAATTGAATTAACACATAACAGTAATAATGATAATACACACACAATGGGACTGCAGTGAAGTGGATACAGGAATCCTGCTTTTTTGTCTTCACTGGAGTGTTTTTTCTTCTTCAGTGACACAGATGATAGAGGCAAGTCATACATCATGGCTTTGCAAATTGTACTGCAGTATCTTTGTATCACGATATCATCGCTGTCACTGGAAACCTGTCATGATAGCAGCGATAGTGATAGATGCGTTACACTGTGATTGCCACCTCTCGATGCTTTTGGTACTTTGATTGGATGAACGCAAGTGTCGGTTGTGATCACGTTTCATTTTTTGATAATGCACACTGTTTTTCTAAATTCAGTAATCACCTTACAGCTATGATTGTGTCTTTTTTGATGTATTTTTTTTCATTAGGTCATTAGGTAGGGGTTTGTGTCAGCATGTAAGACTGAATAATGTAACGAGCAGTGTATCAAAATACTTTCTCCAGGGAGTAATTAAGTACTGCCCTTTTTAAAAATGTAACAAATGATGTTTTATATATTGCTTTTACCAAGAAGCCTTTCATACTGAGGGTAAACAGGGAGAAGTTAATCAGAACTAGACTCATAATCAAAGGGAACAGGCTTTAAGGAGTGATGACAGCAAGTTTGAACATTTTGGTGCAGATCATCATCAATGTGTACGGAGAAAGGCAGGAGAGGTACAGCAGTGAGTGTCTACAACCATCTGTAAAATATGGTGGAGGCTCTGTTGTGGTTTGAAGCTACATTTTAGTCAGTGGTGTTTGGGATCTTGTCAAAATGGATAGAATTATGAACACAAATATATTGACAGATTTTGATCCACAAAGCAACAGCATCTGGAAAGCATCTGATTGGCAACAGCTTCATTAAAATCATACCTGGATAGAAAAACAATGGAGCACTGTCAGTCATTGATTGGCCTCCCCAGAGCCCAGACCTCAGCTTTATTAAAGCGGTGTGGGATAATCTTGACAGAGAACAGAACAAAAGGCAGCCAACATTCAAAATAAGAGCTTTGATTGTCCCTGTAAAAGCCTGGAGAACTATTCCTGGAGACTACTGATAGAAATGAGAAGAAAGCTACGAGTTCAGGCTATTTTGCCTTCCATACTGTATCTCCATGTACATTTTCAGATGTTTCCAAATCTATAGGTGTGAATTTGTGAATAATTGTCTGACTGTATGTGTTAGCCCTGCAGCAGGTTGGCAACCTGTCTAAGGTGTACTCCACCTTATCCTATAACAGCTGGGACAGGCTCCAGCCCCTACCCCCCTGTGACCCTGAAGTGGAAAAGAATGGATGGATGGATAGTCATAGAGCTTATTTTTGTGAGGATACAAAAGAACATGGAAAAAGATGACTGGCTTTTTGTAAATGGAGCTTAGGCAAACCCAACTTAGGGGACTGGCCCACAAAAAGAAAATGTCTATAGGACCACTCTCAGCCCCAAAAAACAGGGTTCGAAGAAGTTTCAGAATTTCTTGCAAAGATTGGGAAGGTGAATTCCTCTGTCAGTTACAAGGACTGTGAAAGGTTGTCTCTGGGCCAAAAGCACATAATAAAGAAAATGAAGACATTGAAATAGGATTACAAGACAATAAAGCATCAAAACAAGAAGACACCACCTGATGGTTGGCCATTACATCGCCTCAGAGTTCCTATTAGCCCTGCTAATGCAGACAGTAGAAATGCCAGGAAGGTTCCTGGTTCTCTGGATCTGTTTAGTCTAAAAGTGGCTAATGAATAATTGTGGTTTATTTTTCTTAAACTTCATGTTTAACACTTTAAAGATGAATTCGTTAGTGGCAGACAGAAGAACTGACACAACCCAGACAAGTAGAAAAATGTAACCTTTACTTATTTACAGATTGTACAGAGGTACTGAGTGACAAGGTAGTATTTACAACACAACTAGTAGCTTAGAAACCCCTGAACTTATACACAAGTGAGATACACGGCAGGGAGACCCACAGGACTACACACCAACACACTCTGTCCACCTAGTACAGTGTATGTGTGTTTGTGTGTGAACACCTGGGCCAAACTGAGATCTGTACTGAGCCCCGGGAACACTAAGCGTGCTCCTCGATAGCGGCTATGTGGGAGCCAGCCGGGTGCCTTACCGCTGACATCATGGGGCCAGGAGCCAGGAAGTGTAACCATCCAGGCCTCTGACCAAGACATGGAATGGTACGTGTTGGTTCGTGTAGTCCAGTAGGTCTAACTCAGGGAGAACTTAGGTGTTGCAGCAAAATATGTACCACCAGAAACACGAGCACGTCATGCAATTTGAAAAATCTGAAAGTAAAACCAAAAGGTTGGTGTAAAAACCTGTGATGGTGGACATACAAAAACGCATACCTCATGCTCGCTTAATCACAACGGTACAGACGCAACATGTGTGTGTGTGTGTGTGTGTGCCTAGCTGTATTTGTGTTGTATGAGTAAGAGCCAGGTCAGAAGGTTACGTGTGGGATGAAGGGAAGAGAGTCCAGAAAAGCACACACACACACCACAAACAACCTGTAAATACACACATCCTCTGTCTTATATAAATGCCTGCACGGTGTAAAACACACAAGCACACAGACACACTCACACTCGCTCACAGGTAAAACAGCACAGACTTGTAGTGGAACTACGTGGGTGGGAGGGGGTTTTTGTATTAACCACACAGGCTGGACGATCATTATTCATTGAGTGTGAATCAGATGACCCAGCTACGTGCAGCTAGTTAACAGGCATAGTTAACTAGTCATTAACCCAGCAGTGACGACTGTACAGTGAGGTCCCAACCAGCAACACACCAGAGGGGAAAAATAAAGAAATAAATGAAAAAAAAAACAAAAGCAAACAAAATCACGATAATCTAAACCATGCCAGTCTTTTTTTGTTTTTAAGAAGCAGAATTAAAAAGCCACGTTGTTATTGAAATGAATTCAACAGTTAATACCATTCAAATCAAACAAATGAAATCAGTTTCTAACATTTAAAACAAAGATTTTCTCTGTACAGAAGTATAATATTGCAACCTGATATTGTGCATATAACTCACACATCAAACCTGTTAAGATTACCAAAAGAGGGGCAGCGTTCACCGTTCAAAGGTGCTGTTTTTTGTTCAAACTCTCTCGCATTCTTTGCAGCCAATATATATATTAGATATATGTGAGCGTGGTTTGCCTGTGTGTGTGTGTGCGCGCGTATGAGAGAGAGAATAGAGCATAGAAAGAAAGAGAATAGACAGACGCTCAGCTAATGGGATATCAAGTCCTTTTTCCATCAAAATCCTTGTGTTAAAAAATAAATAAATTAATAAATTTAAAAAACAAATCAGTGCCCTTACTCAGTAGATTATGGATTTCTAGAACACTCATACACACATTGCCAGCTTGTTGAGTGTGTCTGTGCGCGCGTGTGTGTCTGTGTGTGCGCGAGTGTTGCCTCTGTAACGAGTCACTTTGCTAACTCTCCGCGTTGCCACGTGACTCTCAGTGCTGAAACACAGCGCCGTGTTCTCGCCAACACAAGAGCCACACAAGTACCAGCTTACTCTGACGCGCGTCCAGGAGCATTCATTAGATGAGTAAATCTGCAACAGCGATACACTCAGCCTCTAAATTCACTACGGAGACATTAAAACCGGCTCCTTTGCTTGACATAGAAAGTTATTAGAAAAAAAGCACTGGGATCCTACGAGAGCCGAACGAGTTCTCACAGCTACTGATGTTAAGTGATTTCCAGCAAAATGTTGAGTTTTTTTTCTTTTTTCTTTTTTAAAAACACCACGACTGAACTTTAATCTTCTCATACTCGGTCTACTCTACAGGAGGAAGCAGGGGGAGTGAAAAAAGAGGAATCGAAGAGGAAACCTGGTTAAGGAGAGGGATGGAGGAAAAGGATCAGTGGGAGGGGGCAGGGCGAGAAGATGGAGCGCGGGTAAAAGTTCAAAAAGAAGAGAAAGATTTCAAGTTTGTGTTGTGTATACTGTATGCATGATGCTGTACCCCATTATCTAACACTGTAAAACGTCCGACCTCACAATGGAACGGTGCCCTAAACCCCAATGCCAAAGAAGAAATTAAGAGAAAAGAAAAAACATCTATTCAGCGAATGACTGAGAATATTCATATTTTTCAGTATAAAAGTGTTTTTGGTCAAACGTCTTGTGTAGGTGGCAGGGTATAAAATCTACAAAGTGCACAAAATGAAGCTATCTTGTAGCCTCGACACACACACCCAACCCTACACTACTATCCTAGACTACTGCGTATGTGTATGTGTGTGTGTCTGCATGTATGGATGTGTGCATATATGACCCTGTATAGTAGATTTAACTGTAACACAGGGCAGTAGGAAGCATGCAGTATGACCTGAAGGCTAGCTAAGAGAGGAAGCAAGGATGCTATACTGTATGTCTCTAGATCGATAAAACACTAGAACACACACCCTCATCCTGAGAGGCTTTTAACTGGTGGCCGTGTTCGGACCACTTTTTGGAATGTTCAATTATCTGACATCAACAGTGACAAACAGTCTGTGGTTCCCCCCCCCCCCGTAACAACAGACAGCACGTGTGTGTGTTCGAGTGTTTGTACGTCTGCGGGCGGGCGCCGATACACTTCTCAGACCTGTTTCCTGACCAGCTGCCCGCTGCCCGGTCCGGTCTGTTACATAGATAGTGGTTTCCATTCAAGTCAAGGATTACTCTAAGTGAAGTTTACTACTCTTTAAGCCATGCTGGCAGTGCAGTTTGGAGGCTCAGACAACATACGGGTTGACTGGAAATCATAGTGCAACAGGAGAGTCCTAGAGAGGGGGTGGGTGTGTTTAGGTTAAATATGCGTGTGTGTGTAATCTCAGAAAGAAAGGGGTTTCTTGTGTGTCCCCTTTATCTCCAAGAGGCTGGTGAGAGGGCGTGACAGGTCGGCTCGTCTTCCAAACACTTCATCACAAGTTCCCTTACGTCCCACTGCTGGCGTTAAGAAACCGTGTACAGTGTCCCTCGTATTCCACAGGATGTCGATCCGTCTTGTCGGACAAATTGTCAGTTCGTGCCTCGTTGCTCGCGGCTCGAGGCTGGTACACACACTGACACTCATACACACACACACACACACTCTCTTCATCTTGTATTGTGCCTCCAGCTGTCCCTGTGGCCCTCCCATCTCTGACCTATGGAGGGTGTGGTAAAGAAAACAATGATTTACTTACTCGCTGTTAACCTTTTTAGTCCCGAGCTTCCCGCTTTTCACCCGTGTGTGCGTGTCTGTCTGTGTGTGTTTCTTGTGCATGTGCTTAGAATCAGAGCTGCCTCGTCCGGTCACACACACCTCTTTCGTTGCATGCGTGCGTGTTAGTGTGTTTCAGTGAGATTTTTAGTGTGCTGTGTGTGACTCTCAGACGTCAGACTCGATGCTGGGCATGCGGCGGTAGAGCCGGGGTCGGTTGCCGCCCGCGCTCGAGGCTCGCGGCGCTGTCACATAGCTCATTGGCTGCGAGGCAGCAGGTGGGACCATGTAGGCCACAACGGGAGGCTCCTGCGGAGGGTAGAACACCTGTTGGTCGACCTGGCCGCCATGCTGGTTGAAGTGATGGTTGCCATGGTTACCCAGAGTAAGTGACACAGGCATTCGCTGCTTATAGAGCTCATGGGCGGAATTTCTCAGTGGCATTCGTGTTGTAGCCTGGGAGGCGGGATCGCGTTGTGCCGTGCCCGGCGCCGACTGTAGGAAGGGGTTGTGGGATGGGCGGTCGGGGAAGAGGCTCTTCGAGCGCCGCGGCAGAGGCATCGGGGTGTCCAAACTGTGGTGGTGGGAGGGTGAGGGAGAGGGAGGGCTGCGGCTGCTCAGCGGACGATCAGAGCGCATTGTGAGAACATTAGCATAGGCCCCCTCATCCAGGGTCAGCTCCCTCTCCCTATCTCTGTCAGGCAGACTCAGCCCCCGCATGTGGGGGTGGGCCTGCGACTGCCGCTCGGGAATGCCGTCCGGAAGCACATTCTCGTAAGAGTGCTGGCGACTCAGCTGGAGGTGCTGGGCCGAGGAGGAGGTGGGGAGAGGGGACGGGGAGGAAGGGGTGGGCTCAAAGTGGCTGACAAGCCCGTCCCCCTCACCCACCAGGCCCAGCTCGCTCTGGGGAAGGTAGTGCGTGAACATGTCCGCGCTGTGTGGGTGAGGGTGTGTGTGGGAGTAGTGCGAGTGCAGGTGGTCTTCACTGATGTCATACAAATTCCCCAGGTGGGCGCAGGCATCGCAGCGAGCTTGTGGCGAGCGAACAGTGTAGAGGCCAGAGTAACCGCTCAGCTTGGTGAGGCAGGAGCGACAGTGGCCGGGCCTGACACTTTGCGTCCCTGGACCTGCACTTGGGGCTTCGAATGAACCTCCGACCTTCTCTTTCACACTAGAGGGAGAGAAGACGCAGCTGATTATACACAAAGAGACAAAACAAGCACCTTAAACGGGGCTTTATGTGCGATTAATGCTAAATAAAATACCTGCTGTGAGTGTAGGTGCTGTATTTCTTATCCTTCAGAGAGTGCAGGTCGGCCTCAGCGCTGTGACTGTGGTGTAGGAGGCTGGCGCTCAGCTGCAAAATGGGTGCGTCTGACTGGTGGGAGAGTGTGTGCGGGTATGTGCTGTCAGGTGGAAACAGGTCAGGGGGGTAAGGGTGCTCATCACTTCCCCCCTGGCTGTCTCGCTGGTATGGGGGAACGGACTGGAGACTGGCCTGGTCTGAATCAATGGAGTAGATCTTGGATGCTCCACCTCCACCGCCTGCTCCTCCACCGCCCCCACCCCTCTTCCTCAGTTGATTGATTGGCTTAAATCCGCCCCTTGCTGCCATGGAGTCAGAATCTTTGTGTGACGGTGGCCGACTGGAGCACTCCGAGAGGTCCGAGTGCTGTGGGTCTTCGGGTAGGTAGCGCTGGCTCTTCATTTGTGGCGGTCCGGGCCCAGATGCAGGGGCGGGGCTGTGGCCTGGAGATACGACGCTCGGCTGAGTCTTCAGGGTCTCGACACTTTTCTTCCACAAGGCTCGGGGCTTTGATGCAGTGAGGCCCGCCCCGGTGAGGCGGGTTTGGCCGTTGTCATCTGTGATTGACAGCTGGGGCTTGTTGGGGCTGGTCTGGTGGGGTGGAGCTTTTTGTTGCCCAGGAAATGGCGCAGCATTATTGAGGAGGTTTTTGTGCCTCCCGGACAATGACAGGAAGCCCTGTGGACCCGCAGCGTTGCTATAGAGACCAGGACCCTTCTGAGGCAGAGTATGGAGGGAGTTACCTAGGAGACAAGGAGAGATGCACCTTAGACAGAAGATACAAAATATGGACGATTGGTTGGATGCTCAGCCAGGTCAGCTGATACATCATCTACTGCCTCGACATGCAATGTGTGACATCTAATGTATTTCTAATCACGAGGAAGGCGTGGACGTGACAGTCAGCAAGGTGAAAGTAGTCACCTTTACTCACGCATACACACAATGTAAAGAAAAGGCAGATGCTATGTGAACGATCTTATTACAGGTGACACGGCTTCCAGATTTGCGCTGGCACAATATATTAGTTTTGAGCTCAGAGCTCAGAAAATACAGTTAGTAGAACCCCTCTATGGTTTAGAAATGCCCTTGTTCTTCCAATTAAAGCTTTTATTTAATATAACATGAACCTGATCAGAAGATCTGCAAATGATGATTAATGATTCATGACATCATCATAAATTATGATTCATTTTTAACTGAATAACTGTGTAGGAAAACAGAGGCCCGTTGCCAGCAACAGTGTGTGAATTGCTTATTGCGTTGCCTAATGCAAGTTTATTAAGTTAGACAGCAAACTGATCGTGTTAGCCCAGCTGAAAACTGTTGATTTAAGAAGCAATAAATTGGATCAGTCATCGGTTCGTCTCCAAATGCCCCCCAAACAAGAACACTTTCTTCTGAAACTTGTCTACACCAGGCCATATAACAGTCGGTTTCACTCTTCAAAACCAGCACATAAACGCTTGGATGATTCTTTCAGTTGACGACCTTTATTAAGGCACCTCAACCGCTCATTGTTATTTATCATCAATGATTCCAACAACCACTAACAACATCTAACCAATGCCATTTAAAATGATAAAATAGACTTGTCTTTAAGAAGTAAGGACATTTCCAAGTGACCCTCTGAGTGTACTGAGTACCTTTCCCTGACATCATGTCTATGATGCTGGGCTGCACAACGACTGTGTTGCGTTTGGGAGAAGGCAAAGCGATGGACTTGGCAGACTTGAGCAGGTGCAGCATGTTGGCTTGAGGACTGAAGCCCAGCTCTGGTGCCTTCTTCTTCATATCTATATGAACGCCGTGGATACAGCTCCATATACCCTGAGAGGAGACGAGGAGAGGAAATTAATGGAAGAAAAGGAAAGGAAATGAGAGCCGGAGAGGAGGGAGATAGGAGAGATAATAGAGAGTTAGTGTAATTCACAACCCAGTGACTTCACAAAAAAAGTTCAGACAATCCCCGAGACTAATTTCCTTGTGAGGTAAATTAGCAGAGACCTCTGCATCCTCTCTCCAGTGCGTTTACTGCAAACCTTAACCTCATTTTGTTTTTGTAATGTGGCTAGAAGAGATAATCACCACTTTTTTAGATGAACTGCTTTCTGAGGCGCCTAGAAAATTAAATTTAGGTGATGATGTCACTGGAGGGGGCCTTTGAGTGCAAGGAGATGTTCTTCCTAGAGCCACTTAACCTCCAGCATCGCTGCTCTAACAGCATGTGCACGCCAAGAAACACACACAGTCACACAGACACACACACACAGAGGACTCTTTCTGTAAAACACTTAATGTGTGAAATGCTGCTCGTCTGGAATAAAAGCCCTGCCTAACACAGAGACATGACATATGAATAATGAAATAGTGGTCTGTCTGTGTGTGCCCATTTTGTTTTTTGGGTGTGTATTTGTGTGTGCGTGTGCATATATCAATGTGTACCCCTGTTTGGTCAAGCCTGTCCCTCATCTCACTCCACCTGCGAATGTGTTGCCATTTTTAGAAGAGAGCCAGCGACGCACCGAACGTCAGAATATTCGATATCGGATGCCATCGGCCTATCAGCAAACAGGATGACATTTAGCAGTGGCGAAACTGGGAGAATATCTTTGTTCTTTCACTATATTTTTTAACTTTCACGTGTGAGAGAGAAGGGCGTTGTGTGTATGTAAATGAACTCGCGTCCGCGTTCTCATCCTCTTAGTTGTCTGATTCCTCTATCCTGTCGTCCGTGCGCGCAGCAGTAAATTCATCTCTGCCTCAGCTGGGCTCCATTATCACACTGCCCTTCCTTCCTTTTTAATCACACACACGTGCAAAAACATTATTGTATCCTAACAGTAACAACTGTTTGTGTTTGAGACAGTTTCAGACAGCTGAATCACAGCAACTCACACAGGCCCGTAGATTTATGTGAGTTTCTGATTCATCTGATTCATCTGTTAGAAAAGTCCTTTCTGCACATCCCTGTGTGTATTTTCGATGCCCCGGAATAAGCATAAAGATTAGGCAAATTACAGAATGGATTAAAATTTGGATGCTTTGTTTTAGAGGAAATTTTTCACAACAAGACAGCAGCAAACTAATCATTTCTTAAAATTTACTGTGCTGTTTGAATTATTGCTGTTAGGCACCACAAATGCTCTCCACCGGCCCTCACAGCCGCAATAATGTGCTGAGTTGTTTTTCCCTGTTATTTCTCTGCTTCAGCCTGAAATAATCTACAAATATAGTTATGTTTGTTTCTCTTGCAGATTCTCTGTATGTTTAGCCCGCTCTTTCTCTTTATCGGATTTTCTTTGAGAGAACTCTGTTAGCCGGCTGTGCTGTTAAACATCAATAACATTATGAGACACTCACAGCCCTCATCCCATTATTGATATAGGAAAATCCAGTGCTTTCTTGCAGTCTGAATGAGCGTTGTACATCAGTTGTTATACCCTATAGGGCCCTGTTTTATCACTAAGTGCCATTCACTGCTATGAATTCTAACAGCAGCTATCTATTCCTCAGTCACACTAGAGTAAAAGAGGACGGAGACATCCTTGTGACTTGGAAAACTGACGATTGCATTGCATTGAATATTTTTACATTTGGCAGCCAACTGCACATAGTTGAGGTGACCAACTCGTCAAAGTCTGTTTGAACTGACTGTGAGTGGTTGCAGACTCGGCCCCTGTCTGTGAAACAATCAAAGGCAACAAGACTGCAAGTCCATGCTTCAAAAATGCTGGCAATGCTCCAGTGTGACTGAAGCATTAAAGTCCTGCGTGAGATTTTGAAAACTAGGAACCAAAACTTCCTGCTGTGAAAATGTGGGTTCCTGTGCACGCTTCCAGGTGTGTGATGATTTCCTCTTTCTTACCCTGCTGATAGTGAAGAGAATGCCCGGCCTTCCAGAGCAGACACCAGTGAAGCAGTATCTCAGTCTCCAGTAGAAAAGGTGCTCCGAGATGAAGGTGAGGATGGAGAGGCCCATGGCCGTGGCCAGCATGTAGAAGACCCCTGCCATGTTGTCCACATCCAGCTGACTGGACATTACCTCATTCTTCTCATTGTGGCAGATCCCAGTCAGCCACTGAGCTTCCAGCTCCTCCATCTCACCTGTTGCAAAGATGAATGTGAAGGGTTAACACTGGAGGGGAAAAAAGAACAACGTGAGGAATGAAGGCAAAGGAATTCGAGACGTAAGGAGAAAAAGTGAACGAGGTGATGGGTGGCAGAGGGCAAGAAAGGGATGTGGTGGGAAAAGAGGCATATGAGGCGGGATGGGGAGAAGGGAGGAGGGGCGAGAGGTGAAGTGGTAAATAGATCGTAATGGAAAGGAGACAGGAGGCGGAGTGGAAAAAAGAGGTTGTAGGAGGAGGGCGAAGAATTGATAGTGATGGAGTGATAAGGAAAGATGGGAGGAATTATTATCAAACTGAGTGTGTCTGAGAACGCGTGTGCTTGAGCACGAGGGTGTTTGCCCTGAATAAAATGGCCGTGTGTGAAGCAAAGCGCTTTAGTGGTTTCAGCAGTTTGATTTCTGTCCGACTGATTCTCTTTCTTCCATTCGCACCATCTCACAGCTTATTATACAGAACAATCTGGAGGAGTAAACATAACAGGACACGGTGGGCACACACAC